ACCTCCAACCAACTTTAAAACGCTCAACCCAAAACACCAGGCAAAATACACATCGTTGATTTATTCCTCATTCGAACGAGTAGAATTGGTTAATACAAAAATACAAGCCTGAAAAGGTATCACTCTCGTTTAGAATTACTCGAGTTTGCCAGTGTTTGTGTTTAGCTCAGACTCAGAGCTGAGCTGTTCATTGAAAATTGCCTACATTCATTGTAGCATATATCGCAATCGTGTTTATTAGATTAAAACCTACCAGGTTCTGTTCTGCAATCACTACCAAATTCCACCACAAGATTGCACCACAGACGAATGTTTTCGTATTCTCACAACTCACATGTTGCAAACATATTTCATCAACAAAATGGCAGCATAGTGCTCCCTAGGCCAAGCAATATTGATTGAAATATTACCGATAGCATAGAGGGCTTTAGTTGATGCTTTCCCGGGTTTATTGTTGTTGGCTAGAACGGCGGATAGAAATGCGGGAAAATAGTGGGATAGTAACTTCATCAGTTGATGTAAAAGATTCCAACTGTTAGACTGTTACGCCATTTACTCCGATGAACGAAAATTCGCTGCAGTCTGGACTGTTGAAGCAGACGCCGGAAGCAGACGACACCAATTCCATTGCACGCTTGGCGAAATATGTCAGCAGCATTCCCGAGTGACGATGACGAATCTGTCGTGGCTAACTCAGTTGATTCAGATTGCACATTTTGTCCATCACCATCAATTCTAGAAGGACTTAGTTCGTAAGTAGCAAAATGTCAGACTGTAATAGTATGCTTGACTGAAAAATAGTCTATATACTGGTTGCAAGCCACAGACGATGCATGAATTGAATCATATTTACAATTTATGAATATGTTTTGGCCAACAAAAAATAAGAATTTGTTTATTGACCTAGAGAAAATTGATAATAATTTGTTTATTATTTAATAATAAAATAATACCACCACAACAAGATAAACTTTGAACATTTATTAAACAATGCTTTCCATATATGCAATAAAGTTTGACCAGATCGACAAAACAGAAAACAAACGTTTGCCTCATTCTACCATATGTGACACACTTTTTCGAGAAGCAAAACCTATTTTTGTCCTTATATGTTTATATCTTTTATTTATTTTGAAAAGTATGTTTCATATTATTTTCAATGATAAATATTTTATTTTAGGCTTGGACTGGCAAAATCAAGATTATTACAACAACATTCTGAGTTAGATAAAACATCAACCACCGGAGTGGCAATCAGTCAGAAGAAAAACAGCTTTGATTATGAAACTAGTTCTGAAATTTCTGAACCACTGGTGCCAACAAGGTATGTATCACAATCCTGTGATTATTACAACAATAAAGTTGATAGAGGGACTGTGGTAAATTAAAGAAAACTGATGTATTGCTTATTAATTTTAACTTTAATTACAGTATTTTACAGAATATCAATGGGAGCAACAAGAATAAGTCTAGCTATGGGAGTACAAGATATATTGGTTTCTCAAAATCAAGAGATACATCACCAGAATTTCCACATCTACCCAAGTTGAGAAAATTGACAGGTGCAAATATAAAATACATTGTTACAAAATGTTGTGAAGAAATAAACTATTTCAATATGAAAATACCGTATTTGCTCTGTTAGAGGTGTAATGCCAATAGAAATGCACATACACCAAAAAATGTATTGGCTGTATACCAAATTATTAATATATTACATATTTTGACCATAAAAAGTTTTCTGTAATTTATGTAATCGCAATGCCGACTTATATAGCAAATACTGTAGTTGTTACTATGTGCATTATATATAAAACATGATGAAATTGTTACTACAATATGAAATTGTCATTAGTGAAATCTGGTGTCATAACAATGTAACGTGAAGTTGTGAAAACATTTAATAATCCTATAACCCTGCGCATTGTTTCAGAGTATCAAAATGATGAAAAGATTGTTGGATATAGCTCCAAGTTGAAATCACTCAGTGAAAATAAACAAGATTCAGCAGATACTATTCATACTAAAGTTAGTGAAGATGATAAAATAGGGAGCGACAGTGTGTCAACAGAAATTACTAGGAAAAATAAAGACACAAACATTCCAGTATGTGAACGTGTCAATGTCACAGAATCCCCTATACATGAACTGGGAAATAAAATTGGAATAGAAAACCCAAAACCAGATGTTAACTCCAAAGAAGTCCAGATTGAATTGAACAGAGAAGCAACAAGTGTAAACAACAGTCAGAATGAAGCAAATTTAACTAATGATGTAACTGGTAGTTATGGTGTACAAGAGACAGGCATGTCAAGATCTGTGAGTGTATTTAGTTATTTGGAATCCATTTTTTATTCAAATCATTGAAATAGGTTTATGTATGGATTACTACTCATTTCATGAAGGCATGAATTTGTTCTATAGAAATATTTCTAAATGTTATACATAAATATAAAATTAAAATGATTGGAAACCAATCACCACACTTTTAGAATTTATGGTCATTAATAGACTAATGACTGAAGGAAACCCACACAAAAACAAATGGCTTCTATATACCATCTAAATAAAGCATGTGTATATTCCCACAGTTTCCAAAAAACAAATTTATGCCTTTATGAAATGCACAGTATCTAGGTAAAAAAAAAAAAAGAAATTGATAAGCACTCATAGACCAATTAATACAATAATCAAATTAATCTTTATTATTTCCATCAGGCTGGAGATAAATTGATGGATGTTCAGAAGCAACAGGGTTATGTTTGTCAGCTTTTGCAGATTGGCCAGTCAACTGGTGAGTATACAGTTAGAGAATACCATATATAAAAAAACGTTATTAATGACTAACAGTTTGTGAGCTTGAATTCATAAATGATGACTATTAAAGTATATGAATACAAATTGAGACATTCTCCCAAAGACAGTCAATGGAAACAAATAAAATCATTTTGATCAAATTATTTGTACTCATGTTGATGTGCATAAAATCAAAGTCCAATGAATATAAACTAATTTATCCCTTGCATTCTTGCATATCAAAAAATAACATTTTTAAAAACACATTTTCATTAGAAATGTTAAAAGCTGAGATGAACAGTTTACAAGTTAATTTAAAGTTACTTGGTGAAGCGAATAAAAAGGAGAAGTCTGAGATAATGCAGCGACAGGGTGAAGTTGTAAGTGCTGAAGGCAGGATGGAGCTGAAAAGAAGACTTGTCACTCTGGCTAGTCGACATAGAACACTTATTAATTTACTTCTGAAACAAAAACAGTTGGCTGCTAAATTTCAAATGATTTATGATAAAAGTCAGAATCAAATGATTGATGGTACTGCTGGACAATCACAATGTGATGCGGAGAAGCTGCAAAAGGAGGAACACAGAAAAAAAAATAATGTTCCTACAGGTTTAACTGCTATTGGAAAAAAAGACTTCCTGGATACAGGTGAGAATACTTCTGAAATAGGAATGGTCACGACCAATACCTCAACTAAAATTGCTAGGAAGACTGTTCAGAGAACTTCTAGTCTTGAGGAGAAGGATTCGGTCACATCTACCAAGAAGATTGACCTTAACAATTCAACAGCCGACACTGTTGCCTCTCAAATGGTACCTGACAGAGCAGTTCCTTCTGTAAGAATGAGTTCTGCAATTGAGGTTAATGTTGGAAAGGAAGTACATCAAACAGTATATAAGACTCCAAAAGAACAATACTTCACAATAAATCCAGAGTCTGGTAGAGTACTACCACTCCAACCAGGTAGTAAGATACTTGTGTCTTCGGGACAAAAAAACTGTCCTGTAACATCTAAACATGCATCTCAGACAACAGTGAATCAGAACAGTACAGCATTACCTAGTTACCAAGTGAGAAAGTGTAAACCAATCTCTGATGTACTTACTTCAACTGCAGATGATAGACCTCAAGTCCACCACAATGTTTCAACAGGTGGTTGCATGCTAGATTCTCAATCTGCTGCAGAATCTCATGAAAATTCTCAGGTATGTTATTTTCTGCCTTCACATTCTTGAATTCATCAAACACAAATCTGTAACCAATCAATTTTTCTAGTTTAATGTCATATTTGAGATTACTGTAGGTTCTTAATTTATTTTTTTATTGTCTAAATATTTTATACTGTTTCTCCACATTGTTTTTTATCTGTGCACCTGAGAGAGTTGCAATAGTTTTTAGTGAGGTAAAATATTTGATGGTATGAATATATTTAAAATTGAGGATTTATCAAGATGCAGGCCAGTCATTCGGAACAAGGCTGAATCCCAGTGTATCAGTGGGTGTATTAGTCCCAAATCACTAATGAATCTAAAAGTATCGTCTCATCAAGTATAGTTTATTTGACTTTTACATCACAGATGAATACTGATGCTGGTACAAGTAAAGTGAAAAAACCAGTTTCACTGCGCTCCCTGATTGAACAGAATGTTATCCAACCTGGAAAAGATGTCTTATCATTTATTAACCAAGTAAGTTCATTTTTGTTGGGTCAGAACATTCTTTTCTGAACAAAATTCTTTGAAAATATTAATAGAGTTAACATAATATAAAGGCTCATGAGCTGCATTTTGCTAATTGTTATTTTATTTTCTGATACAAAAATGACCATTGTGGCACCAGAAGAGTAAAATGTTATATGTTCATAGTAAACAACACCAAAACAGCTGCATAATCTTCAAACAAAAAAATCCATTTCCAGTCATTTATCACGAATGTACTCCATGTGACATTACTGATTTGATAGGCCTATTTTGATTAAAGCACAACATCGGCATCAAGGCCCTTGTAGGTGGTGCTTCTGTAAGTCTCAAATCAACAAAGATGCATTTATTTTAGACATTATAAACAATGATAATTATGTAAGGAAAACAAGACTGGAATTTGAATAATCCAGAATGACGGAAGTTGACTTTCAGTGTTAGTGTCTGGTGCTATACAACAATAGAATTAGTTTTATGTAGCAATTTTAAGATAGTTACATTGCCTATATGTTTATGAAGTTCACCTTGCTTCAGTGCCTTTAATTGGAGAAATTACGAGAGAAAATAGGCGATTTGCACCAAAGGCGAATTTGCAAGTATCTGAGTGGATTACTTAAAATGCTCATTATTATGTCACAGGGATTACAAAATCAATTAAAAAAAGTGTCAAAAAGACTGTATCTTTACCAATACATTTTTTGATTTCCCATAAAGGAAGAAACGTTTGTTGCCAACCTAATGCAATCTGGAGTAATTCAGGATAGTTCAGGAGAGTGTTTTTGTAATCCATCTCAATGGTTCAAGTCAGCAACAGGAAAGAAGAGAGTTAGTAGATCTACTACATGGGCCAAGGTATGGAGTGAAAAATCTAGAATACTGTAAAATACTTTTTTGGTGTTTTGCATGGAATTTATTATCACTGATTACTGACAAGTAAAATATAGGAAAAAAGGTATATTTGCTGGATTTTATTTTCACTGAATCATTTCTTTAGCGAAAATTAATTCCAAGTGAAAATAAAGCATTTTACAGTATACATGTATGGTTTATTGTCATCAGTCTTGTACATTATTCACTAATATGAGAAGGGAGGGTTAATAACATTTCTTTCAAATTGCTTTTGCATTGAGGGGGGGGGGGCAATGCTTATTTCAGTGATGAACGCAACATGCTTCAATGGCCAAAGCAAATCATGCTGTACTAGCATGAAGTTAATCTACCTGTTTCAAGTTGCATTTCAACATGTGCCATGTATTTCACTTTGATACCCTTTAAAGAAATCAATAAAACATTTATTCGGGATTACATTGAAATCAGCAGAACAATTTTTATTGGCCAGAGAAGGAAACGCCAATTACCCATAAGCCTTTGCACCCTTCCCTCAATTGTGACCAATTCACATTGGTGAAACTATTTGAAATTTATAAAAGAATTGTAATGTTTCATATAAAAACTGTTCATGTCTATGATATAAAATTCAATGTAGTACAATTTGTTATCAGGTTTACTTGCTAGAAAAGATTGGATTACATATAATTGTGTTTGTGCGTTGAAAACTCGCTGCATAGTAATAGTATATAACAATATCTCTTATTCACTCTGATGCTTGGTATTATTATACTTCTACTTATTACAGGTGAAATATAAGGGACACCCTTTGAACGGTTTCACTTTGCCAGCTGTAACACCTGTTAGTCATCAAGATGGTATGTATTCACATTGATGCATTCATACCTTGTAATATAAAGAATGCAATGGTCCAGTAATACTCAAATATTATTATATTCTCTGCATGAAAATTCAATCATTGTTTTGAAATTTACATAATTGGTTATCAGTTACTAAATTGTCATCCATGGTACCATACTTTTGATGACCCTAAGTTAAACAGCAAGTTGGAATTTCTGTGCGTCAGCAAGTTGAATGACATGCCCATTTGAGCCTACAAATATTGCTTTTCTGTGATAATACCCATTGTATCTTTTCTTCTCCTGCAGGAAATAACCAATTGTCAACAGCTAATGGTATGTCATGTAGCGGAAATAGTCCAGAACTAACGGAAGGAAATTCAACACCCACATCATCAGACTTGACACTCAATATGGAACAGCATCTTACAAGAATATTTCACAACTATAGAATTAATTTAATTAGTAATAATGAGCTTTTTAATTGGCATGGTATTTTACCAGAGGATTTCTGGCAGAAGAGTGACTTTCAAATACCTGAAGAGTGGATGGATGAGATTGAATTCCAATAATTCTAATGCTAATTCGAACAAGTCCCTTAAAAATTTCTTCAAATATTTTACAACCAAAGTTGTTTTGTTCAAAAATACATACTTCATAAAGCCAGAAACTGAAAATTGTTCATTATTTTAATAATCTGGCCATGATTTTGCTATATAGTGTATACTGATCATACAAAATTATAATATTTTGTAGGGACAGCACCAATACCTATTACCAGCCTGAGTGTATCATCGATTCCAGTATATATACACTATGTGAAACAATAATAAACCTTATCTGGGCATGTCAATGTAAAAGTACATTGGGTTGGCATGATGCAGTTTAATGTTGCCAATTGAAGGTGTAGCAAGTGGCAGAAGATTTGTCTTGTTGCCAGACCTCCAGTCCCTATATCTACTATGGCTATATAAAAGGCAGCTGCACCCTTGCTGCCAGGATTTAGATGTCTGTATCACTAAAGTAGGTGTGCAGATTAGAGGTATGGCAAGCAAGACTAGGAAAGGATAGATTACCAAGTCAGTGCAGCATGGCTTGTGGTTGGAGGACAAATAGAACCAATTTTCCTCTCAGTCAACTGAGAAAAATACTCAGACAGTTCCACTTAAATGGGGGGTGTCAGAGGGGACGTTACAATTAGAATGGTAATCAATGACTTGCACAACTTCAAGGTGTTGAAGGTACACTAGACAAAACTGGATTTTATTAGACTGTGCCCTATTGAGACCAGTGTGCAACCCAGCGGCCAACTGTATTCACTTGCAAGTGATTTAATGTAGGTCAGTATACAGCATTTATGCTATGTTTTCAATGTCCACATTTCTGCAATGGATGTTATAAATTGGCATGAATTAATGACTTGGGATGACATTTTATTAGAAATAAAAACCAGAGAAAAATAATCGATAGATACAATAATTGCCACTTTAACAAAAAGATTAAGAAAAAAATTGTGTGAATTATAATTGTCCTGATTCATAAAATCAACAAATATATACATAGTTTGAATACTTTAGCTTTGTCATCAATATTTTTTGCTGTACATATTTGACTTTGACACACATGGAACAATTTAAGACATTTGACACAAACATGCGTGTTATGTCTTGCAATCTAATTAATAAATACCATTGCATAGAACTGAGACATTCACCAACAGAATTGTACAAGATAGAAAACGCATAATAAATACAATTTATTTCAAATTCAAGAGTTATTGTCATGTTCAACAAAAAAAAGAATGAATAAAAAAACATGCAAAATTGAATGTGTAAATTATGATAGTCCTGATTTCTCAAATTTCCACATATATGCATATAAATATTTGAGCCTTATAATAAGATTTCTCATGATTTTGATATGTTGATCATCACCGCTGGCACAAATGAGTCAGTCTAAGTACAGAATTATACTGCAATCAAAATCCATGCTTATGTGCAGTCGAAAATCACATTCTTATTTCTCCATAAATCCAATGCTGGGAATGTTGAAATAAGCAGGAAGCTTCGAGAAGAGAAGACTGCCTTCTCTTAGCGATTCACCCACACCTCTTCCATATGCAAAATAACAGTGATGTTTGAGCATTAGCTTTCTAAACAAGTATCATTCCAAATTTGTCTTTTGTGTTTGTTTTCAACACTGTTCCATTCAACTACATTATGGAAAAAGTAAATGTACAGAAAACTGAGGATTTCGGTAACACATAATGAGAATTGAATGAACTGATGGTTTCCCTGTTTAGATTTTTGAAAAAAGTTCCTTTTCAAAAGTTGGTCCCTGTCTTACAAAGCTGAGTAAAATATTAACTACTTTATGACATGACCATGGTGCAATCAGTCACAGTTATGATATTTAACATGAAATATCACATGTTGCAAATCATCATTTTATGGTTGTTTTAAATTCTGGGCTCCACAAATTTTACACCACTTGTAACGATGTATCATCTCAATCGTACAGCTCAATGGCTTGTCCTTAAAGCCTTTTCTTGTACCGGTAATATAAACTGGATATATCAGTCAGTTTTACCAACTATATATTGTAAATCAGATAGTGTATGGTGAGCCTCATTGCTCAGTCCACTGTCATCCAACTTGCCAAGATAAGACAGAGCATCAGACACCAATTGCACTGAAAATAATGTAGTTTATAGATTTAGTAATAGTAGTCACATGACACTTGAGTGTGCCAGAACCAATAAACATTGTATATGAAGAAAATATGAATATAAACTTGAGTATTTGATATAATAAATACAAATATACTTCAATTTTTGGTTGAACTAAACTTGTTCATAAAATTAATAGAAATAATGTACTTAGGCCAAATTGAAAAAAATTGTGTGGTTCCTAAAACCTGGCCTACCCTACTTTACTGTCTGACCCTGAAATTCTTTTAGCCGTATTTGAGGAAACGTTACAACATTTTTAGATTTTACAGAAATTCACAACTTGGCAAAACTGGGTTATGTAAATGTCTGCAAAACAGTCCTTACATGAAAGAAAATAAATAAAGTACAGTTATAAAACCATGAAAATATCTAAAAAAAATATAATGAAAATCCCTACCTACCTATAGAAACTACAACATTTTTTTATTTGGCTCATGTCTATTGAAATGTGCTTACATTTGGTGGAGTCTTGGTCTTTTATACTTTCAACATTTTGATAATGTTTACACATATAATCTTTCAACATGTCAACCTTGTCTTTGAGAACATAATGTAAAGCTTGTAGATCCTCCTTTGTTACATAGCAAGCAATATGGCTAAGAGTGGTGCACATCTGAAAAATATTCAACGACATTTATTTTAAGTGGTGGAATAGTTTTGATAACTCAGATGACACCAAATGCCAAATAATTTTCCTTGTTACCCGATAACAGTATACTGCAAACCAAATTGACCTGGTACAAAATCGTCTTTGCAATACAAGGTTCTATTGACACATGCCTGATATGGACAGTAGTCAAGAAAAAAGGGATGCCTGTATGTTTAAAACTGGTTTGGGGAGGGGGGGGTGTTTCATGGTCGCTAGGGACAAGAAATATCATTTTATACTCAAAAATATATAAAATTATATTCAATAATTAATCATGTAGTCATATGACCACCATATTCCCAAATGGAATAGTAGTCTCAGAACTATATTTTTCAAGTTCTAGAACTCACAGTGAGAATATATATGGTTATTTACAGCACATGCTACATGTATAGATAACAGGACGCTCCCTCACTTTACCATGATGCATTGCAATATTGTAAACTAATTTAATTTTGCGAGAAACAAATGTTCAAGAGTCGGTGAAATTTTTTAGCAGAGAAAATTTCTCTCAACTCTTAATAAGTATGAGTTTTGCATGTAAACGACTTTCACAAATTGTTGACTCCATGTATGCCATGGAATCATCAAATTGCAAAATTTCCAGCTGCGAAAATTAAGCGGTTACAGTACACACTCACACAAGCAAGCTAATAGTTCAAAAAGAAGGTGATAACAAATGGTGACATCATGAGTACAATCTATTCCATCCCTCCCACTCCAAATTGTGATGTACCTGATCTCTAAGATTCTCTCTGTATTTGAATTCACTGAATGCAGTAACTTTATCACTTCCTTCAAGAGCATCTACCAAGCATTTCCATATTGAGCAAAACTGTTGTACGTCTCCATACTTCTCCCTCTTAAAGGTATAGCAATAGCTAATGCCGCATTGATTCTTACCTACAAACCAATAATACAAGGCTATTAGAAAACTACATAAAAATCAATGTGTATCTTATTATTATCATCAAATCAACCTGTTATAAAGACCAATCCCAGAAACGGGGACTTGTAATTTCACTTATGTGGGTGTGTCCATTCGTCTGCACCCGTATTACGGTCGCTCTGGATCTCAGTGACGCAAGGACAATTTCGTACAAACTTGGTAAATACATGAACATAATAAGACCTTGATGCACTGACATGCCTTGACTGGTCATGTTCAAACACCACACATACTTCATACTTCAGGATCGTCAAGTATATAGTGGCCGTTTTTGATGGAACTTGATTTCAGGCATTTGTGACAATTTTGAGTGACTGCACATCCAGCTTTCTATTATACCCACAATGTTTATGCACACATACTACAATATAATCTTACATTCAAAACATACAGGGACTATGGCATGCCTGACACGTTATGTTATATCACACATGTATTTTTGAAGTCTTTCAATACAGAAATACATGAATGCCTATATAGAACATTTAGTTCCTTACTTTGAAGTTTTTACAATCAGCAACCACACCTAGCAAAGCATCGTAGACATCTGACGTCCACGTAGACGACCCAACTGGTAGATCAGCATTCTTAAACATATTACCAACAGCATAACATGCATTCCATCGCACCTGGTGAGTAGAAACCACAATGAGCATTTGCCACATAGAATTTGATGATTAAACATCTATCATACTTTTTATTTTATTTTATTTTATTCAATACGCAGATCAACGGGCATACCCAATAACAAAATTCTAAGTCAACAACAAACAATAAATAGGTATAAAATTAAAAACTACCATTTTAAGCGAAATTTTTGTGTGTGAAAATACAACTACCGTATTTATCCGGGTATAAGCCCGGGGTCTTGAACATGGAAAATTGCAAAAAAGAAGGGGTGGGCGTTTGCCAGGAGATCCCCGGCAAAAAAAACGAAAATTCGCGAAAATTGGCAACACGCAGTTCGATCGAACTGCGGCAGGGAATAGAACGGCAAATGAAAACATGCAACGGAAATAAATGAACAATATGCAAAACTAGAAGTAGAACAAAAATAATGTATTGCTTATAATGTGACAAAAAACCAGAAATAATAAAAATCGACAGTGAGGAATCATTTGAATTAGGATTTTCCCGCCGACAAACACACGTGAACTCAAAATTAAATACAATGTCAGGGGTTAAACTGCGTAAAATGATTTCCGGTCTCGACAAATTACGCATCAACCGTCATACAAGATCAATAATAATTTACAAATTTACACAGTAAAAATTATAAAAATTCATAGCTGTTTGAAAAAGTACATAAGATGACCAAATCTTACCAAAATATTGTTTTAGACACCATTTTGTTGGAATCGGTCAAGTGATGATGACCGAAGAAATTATGTCACAGGACCTGCACCATTATGAGAAATGACACATAAAATCACCAGTAAGAGGCCGTCAGAAACAGCCTCAGCCTCTCAAGATGACAACGTAATTGACATTTTGCACAAAAGTTCCATAAGTTGTCATCTACCGTAAATACTTGAGGTTCGCTTGACAAAACTAGATTTCAACAGATGGCACCCTCCGGTGGCATGGAACCTACCTCGCATTTTTTTCCCACTCGTAAGTGATTTAATGTACAATGCATATAATGTATATATTGTGACGATGGCTGTTATAAATTGACACTAATGACAAAGAAATGTTTTATCAATCAGAGAAAAAAGTCCAATATTTGCAGCTATTGCCGCTTTAAAATGATCAAATAACTTTAAAACTATAAAACGCAGAAAACTGACATACATCTAGAAAAAATAGATGAGAATTACGTAATACTGACTGCCCCAGAGTCTAATTTTTTAACAAATTTATACACTAGTTATATACTCTACCTTCATGGTACCACCAATGACATTCTTAACTAATGCTTGCACTGATTGCTCAACTAATACTGTAAATCCACTTTTAGCTGAAAAAAAGGAAATCATAGTTAATGTTTGTTTCATATCTGGTCCTAGTCTTACCCCATGTATAACACATGTAATGTGACATACAATAGAACACACAACTGGTCTAATATTTGCATTTTGTGATGACATGTTCCTCGTAGAGGATGACACAAATGTCCGGCCAATAGAAAGTATCATCATATTTCAAGAAGAACCTTTTTCGTGAATGTAGCTATATCTTTATGATGTTTATGGGACTACTTCATTGCATGCATCAGAATACATATTTTTGTAATGGTGTTATATGTTACCTGATCACTCAAGTGTATTTATATGTAAAAAGTAGTGCCATTGGTGTAAATAAAAATGGCAGAATAAATAAGAAGTTAAACGTGAAAGCTCTCTGGTTTTTTTGATGTTTTGTGTGTTCCCGATCAACACATCACAATTTTGACTATCATAAAAATACCAGAAAGCGAAATGTTTTGCAGTACATGTACCGAATTCTGCGGTAAATTCATCCATCCGAAAAATTGCCCTGGGCAGTTTCACGGCTGGTGGGCCCTTATTTGGGGTTCAATGAAAATGATGGATGATGCCAACGTGTTCAAATTATCATAGCTCATTTAAATATGTTAATGTTATTGAACGCAGCACGGAAGAGATTTGCCGATGTTGTTGTACGATCTTTTGGCTTGAATTTTGATGGGAAAGTGGCATGATGTGTTTTTAAATAAAAAAAATAGTTGTTTTCAAAAGATAAACTGAGCATTTGAAGAATAATTTAACATTGTTTACAGCGATAACAGCTCATTGTCGAAACGAAGCTAACCCATTCACGCTAGTCGCAATAAGCATCAATACTCTTGCATGGGCGTCAATGACTACGGCGAAACTTTTAGGCATCAGAAAAGATTAAAATAACACCTGCGGAAAAATCGCCCTGGGCGGTTTCTTGGTCCCATTTTATTTTTTTAAAAACCCAAACTGCCGTTTAATGACCCTGGGCGAATTTGCGGCAGAATCTGGTATATGTTGTCTTTATGTGATCTCTCATGAGTTTGATAGTGGAAGACACTTAGGACTTAGACACAAATATGTGCCGATAAAAAAATGCATCCATCTCAGAAAATATATGATGATATTAATACGCACTTACACATAGTGGATGGCTTAATATATCGGAGTAAATTTCCAATGGCTCTGACACCGTTAGATTTCACTTTATCATTGTCTTCTGAGGCTTTGATTGCTGAAGTGAATAGTCTTTGTAATAACATGTCGGAAAAATCTTGTAGAAATATCGCATCACTGGAATCCCTAGAAAATCAGACATGTATATGGTATCATCAAGTTAGTTTGCTTTATTGGTCAAACATATAGATTGGTTTTTACTATATTTCATTGACTATGTCATGCGCTGATATGTTTGTAAACACAAACTACTAGTTTAGGAAGATTTTAACAGTGTAAATAATTAAACTATTTTCAGTTGGCAACCCAAACTACTGTAATTCACTGATTTTTAATTTTGCTATTTTTAAATAAAATTCACTAAATTAAATCCACAAGAACATGTAAAAACAATACAATTCTTTGTTTCTCTGCCAAATTCATGAACCTAAAACCGAGTGAAAATGCTCAAAACATAAAAATAGTGAAATTAAATGGTTTTACAGGATTTGGAATATTAACACATATCAACCAATGGGGTGCAAAACAAAAAAAACAAACAAAAAAACATCAAACTGAAATATAAATAATTTGACATGTGATAACAAATACTTACTTATTCATAACGAGTGCATCACTGAGGTTGCCTAGCGACCATGCTGCTTTCATTCTTACTAGTACTGAGGCATCTTCTAAACAGTTTAATATTACATTAGCAGTATCAGCCACAAATAATACATCCTGAAATAACAATATTATTAACCAATGTGCTAGAGGGTGATGACTACCTAGGTGGGAAGAGAGCATTGTGCTAGGGGGTGATGACTACCTAGGTGGGAAGGAGATATCACATTAGCAGTATCAGCCACAAATAATACATCCTGAAATGACAATATTATTAACCATGTGCTAGGGGGCAATGACTACCTAGGTGGAAAGGAGATATCACATTAGCAGTATCAGCCACAAATAATACATCCTGAAATGACAACATTATTACCAATGTGCTAGGGGATGATGACTCCCTAGGTGGAAAGGAGATATCACATTAGCAGTATCAGCCACAAATAATACATCCTGAAATGACAATATTATTAACCATGTGCTAGGGGATGATGACTCCCTAGGTGGGATGGAGATATCACATTAGCAGTATCAGCCACAAATAGTACATCCTGAAATGACAATATTATTAACCATTGTGCTAGGGGATGAAGACTGCCTAGGTGGGAAGGGGATATCAAATTAGCAGTACCAGCCATTGTACGAGTATGACTTCACTCTATACCTACCTCTCTGAGACAAGGATATACCACGTAAACACCCAGTGCTCTGACAGCTGAAGACTTCACTCTATAGTCCTCATCAACACTTAATCCTAATAACATTGTAATGCATAATATCCTTTTGTCTAGCTGAATAAAAAAAATCATGATATTGTTAATTATGATTACATTGATGAATTTCAAATATAAATAATTAGGGGGTAAGAATTTAATTGTGAATATCAGGAAAAGTGAAACACTTCCAAACACAGTCTGAGATGGAGGCTCATGGATTTGTTCTGACTGAGCATCTGTCCATCCATGGGTCCGTCAATGTCACGTCATAACTCTGAACCACATGATCTGATTTGAACAAAATTTCTTGGACAATTTGTTTTGTGTATTGTTCAGCAACTCAGAAAGTTCTTTTACAATTCATGCACATTTAGGGGTCTTTTTAGGTCAAAAAGCCTGAAAATGATGTTTTTACTTGTTATTGGCAATGCATTGATCAATTCCATTATATAGGTATTGCACAATAGAATACATATGCTGAAAATAAACAATGTCACAATCAAAGTCTATTAAAAGAGTCTCTTTGGGTCGAAATGTAGGATGTTTTCAGCAATATATACAACTGATCAATTTCATTCAAAGTTCATATTGTAATCCTAAGTAAGAAACAGCTGAGTAAAGAAAAGCATACTTACTGCCAATAATTCAAAAACTGGAGAACCAATGTTGGATAAACAATCACACATACAGGATCGCAAGGCATTCTGAGATGTACTTTGTAGTAAGTTTGGGGCAGGGCCCCCTAGGAGCTTGTTCCATACAATGCCCACCTAGTCAATCAAAATAAAATGTTTTTCAACATTATATGTATAATCAGAAACAAGAAATGAAAACAAATTAAAACATATGTAGTAGTATTGATTAAACTCATACATGTTATTATGACAAATATCAAAAGTTTATACATGGTAGCA